CTCTTTTCTTTAATTTACCTTTATTTTATGTGTATGAGTATTTTGCCACCATGTGTGCTCATGCTCCACTTTGTGCCTCGGGTCCATGGAGATCAGAAGAGGGCCTCAGTTCCTGGAGCTGAAGGTACAGATGGTTGTGAGACACCCTGTAAGTGCTGCAAATCAATCAATGGTCCTTTGGGAGAGCACAGATGCTCTCACCCATCTCTCTGAACCTTTGTTTCTCATTATAAGACAGCATCTCAAGTAGCCCAGTAATCTCAGAATCATCATGTAGTCAAGAACAATCTTCACCTCTTTTTCTGCCTCACCTTCCAAGTGTAGTGGTTACTGGGAGGATTCACAAGGGTTTCGCATTCAGAAAGAAGTCTAGATCCTATTTTGTAATTTGTACCAATCATGGCACCCCAGCCTAGTATGTTGAGGTATTTATTAAAGTTTGTTTCTAAAATGACATTTGTGTTGGACAGTATGAATCTCAAGTTAAACATGTTAAATCTAACATTTAAAATAAATAAAAATTAACTTTCTTCTCATAAGAGATGTGACCCTAGTTTGTGATTTTAAACATTCATAATGTTTGTACATTTTCCTCTGTTAGATTATCATCACGTTTACAGAAATAAATGTTTTCACAGGTAGTCAATATGCCAGAATCAGATCTACATGGGGAATGTGAAGGTACACAATTTATTATGAGTGCTTTCTGGTAGGTAATATTTTCTCTAATGCCCGATGTAGTGGGATGGGAATCTTAAGTGTCAATATTACACAAAAAGTGGTTCTACAGTGTTATTTTTAAATTGGTCTAAGTTATTTTTAACAAGAAACATTTTGAAAACTCAAGAATATATACTAGAACTTTTAAAATAAGTGTAACTGATATGCTAAAAAATGAAAGCAAAAAGTTGAAGACACAAAGAGAAGTAGAAAATCATTATGAAACATTTACAAATGTGATAGTTAAGTCTAATTCTGGCAATAATAATTTTAAGTATAAATTATCAAACTACACTGTTAAAAGACAGAGTAGTCATGAATAATTTCTCATACACTTAAACCCAGGATTTTGGAAACAAGGACAGGTAGACCTCTATGAATTTGAGATTAGCCTGGTGTACACAGTAAGTTCTAGGCCACCCAGGGCTACACAGTAAGACCCTGTCTTTTAAAAAAAAAAAAAAGATGGGTTAGTTTTTTTCAAAGATCTATCTATCCATTTAAATACATATATAGAAACACACAAACTAAAAGCTAAAAAATTGGGGAATGTGGGAGCTAGCAAGATGGCTGAGATGGTAAAGGCCTCCACCCACAGACACACACACTCACACAGATGCAAACACGCATGCACTCATATGTGCACACCACACACACATACCCATGAAACAGAAAAAACAAAACAGAGACACACTGAGACACTATCAGACTCATTTTCCAGAAAAAAAATAGAAGAATACAGATGCCCCCGTGCTCATTTCTGATGTCACTGCTTGTACTCATTTTTATTCACTTGTGTGGTCTGGAGGAACACATTAATTTAGACTTATTGATTATCAAATCTCTGCCCCAGAAGCAAACATTGTCTGACTTTAACCTTTGCTACTCAACACTTAAAGAACTATATCTTAGGTAGACATACAAACTTTCTACCTCAAATAAGTCATAAGAAACATTGTTCTAACTAGCCTATTCAGTGCCCTCCCCCTTGAAGAACGGAGCCCCCATCTTTCTAAGCTACATTTTGTATCACAATTTCATGAATGGATAAGATGGCTGGGACTCATGCAGGTTGTTTATTTCATAGGCCCATGTGACATGACCCTGAAACAAAGATGTGTTTGGAGCATCCTTTCTGTACCTCCCCTCCTACCCTTCCCAGGCTTGGGTACAGCTCCTTGCATTCACATTGAACCTTGTCACACAAGGGCTCTGAGGTGACCTGAGAATCTAAGGATGGTGCTCAGAACCTGAAGTGCATCACAGAAACCAGCAAGGACTGTGCCTCATCCTGCACCAAGGCTCAAACAGTAGAAATAGCCTGTTTCTATGGAAACATCTGTCACCCTGAGGGAAAGTTCTATAGCTCTGCATCTTCATCCACTAGTGTCTTAGTTAGGATATTTATCTCTGTGAAGAGACACCATGTCCATGACAACTCTTTTAGAGGAAAACATTCAATTGCGGATCGATTACACTTTTCAGAAGTCTAGTCCATTATCATCATGGTGGAAAGCATGGTGGCATGTAGGTAGATATGGTGCTGGAGAAGAAACTGAGCATTCTACATCTTGATCCCCAGGCAGGAAAAGGAGACTGCTACACTAGGCCTAGCTTGAGCATAGGAGACTTTAAAGCCCACCCTCACAGTGACACATTTCCTCCAACAAGGTCACACCTACTCCAGTAAGGCCCCGATAGTGCCACTCCCTATGGCCAAGTATTCACACACATGAGTCTATGGAGCCATTCCTGTTCACACCACTGCAACTAGAAGAACTGTCATCAAACAGGGAAGAGAAGGGAAGACAGGGTTCAGTAGCAGGTGGGCTCCCTCCTCCTACACTCTTTTGACCAAATCCGTAATTATTTCACTTTATAAAAATGAACACATTCCCAGCTCCCACATGGCGGACCACAGCCATCTGTTAAGAACAATGTCTCTTCTCACCTCCAAGGCTTATGCATGTACATGGTGTACATACACATAATTAAATACTTTTTAAATAATTTTTAAAATTACGCAAGACATGTTTCCTACGTGTAATCTGGAAATGGATGCGGGACATACACATGTCTCACGAAAACACTGGAACTGGACATCTTTATACATAAGCAAAGTAGGCCAGATCAGAAAAACATATATTTCATGCTTTCCCTTGGAAGTGAAAGCTTGGTTTTGTTTTTTTTTTTTTTTGGTGTGCTAGTGTATGTGGTGTGTGTGTGTGTGTGTGTGTGTCTGTCTGTCTGTCTGTCTGTCCGTCCGTGAAGGATAGAAGCTAGCATTGGATCTTCTGGAAATGCCGTTATAGGATCTTTTAAGCTGCCTGATGTAGGTACTGGGCTGGTCATCTCAAAGTTCAGCAAGTGCTTTTAGGTATTAAAAATAGGTGGAAATGTTTAAAAAGAGTAACAGAATTTTATCAAGAGTAAAGTAGAACAAATAAGAGAAATAGGGGTGATGTAACTATGTTCAAACATATTATAGTTGAACGAAATTGCTTTGGAGACACTTTGAACAATGAATACACTTTAAGGAATATATTATACCAAACAATATGGTGAGTATTACCTTTCTAAAGAAGTTTTATATGGTTTTATGTCCATGGTATAAAATATATACTGGCCTAATTGGGGCTGAAGGGAGAGTGTATTCAGATGGTAAAATTTTAACATTAGCAAATCCCAGGAAAATGCAAATTCAAACCACGATAAGATGCCACTTGTATGAGTGAGCTTATCAGAACAGTAACAGAAAAGTTCACAAGTGTTGTTGAGAATGTGTGGATGAGCAACATATTTACAAAGATAGCAGAATGCTGATGGACAGATGTCCGTTACGGAAAATGTCAAGGTTCCTCAAAAAGGTTAAAATGCAACTACTGTAACACTTCCAATTCTGAACATATAAATAGAGGATTTCAGGTCACTGTGCTATTGATTTCCGCATGCTATAGTTATTGCAGGACTATCCATAGGATTCAAGGTATGGAAATTACTCATGCATAGGTGTAGGGGAAAAAATGTGAATATCCTCAATGAAATGACATATCAAAAATAGAAAACCATGTCACTTTGGGCAACACAGATTAACCTGAAGAACCTCATGCTAAATGGAATAGCCAGATACAGAAACCTGCTTAATGATGTCACTGAATGAAATGGATAAAGTCGAAGTTACAAAGTGGTAATTAGAACCCGCCAGTCAGCCTTGTTCTACCAACGATTGGTCATGTGTACTGTCACTCAAAGGATTCTATCCAATCATATCGAAGGTTCGTGATCTACCCAATCAGGCTAACGCTCCGCCGTGGAGTGTGCTTTCCCGATTTGTCTCGGGCTCCGCCATCCGTGTTTGCTTCCGGTTTCCGCCGAGGTCCAGCCCTGGCTATTTGGTTCTATGCTGTTTTTCGGTGAAAGGCACTGGGAGCCTGACGTTTGGCACTGAGGTGAGTGCAGCTTCTGGGAAAGCAGGAGCAGGCAGGGGTCGGTCCTCATCCCCTCGGCTGTTGCGCGTGCAGAGGATGCTAGGCTGGGAACCTGAGCTCACCGCCTGTCTCCATGAAGCTGTGTTCAGCCTGGTGCTGGCCCAGGGTCCCCATCCCCTAAGTGGGCCCTGATTCCTCCATCCATCTCCAGCGGCTTCTGAGCTTACTCTCCCTCCACCAGGTGATCAAATGTGTGTCCCCACGCTGAAGTTCAAAAGGACTTTGCACACTGTCGCTGTAATGTTTTATTGTGAGGGCTTCACCGGAGAGGAAGGCATCTGAGAAGTCAGTCCTTCGACCAATTAGCGTGGGGGCGGGGTAGGGGGCGGGATGGGAAACTGGTGGGGAGGGCTTGAGAAAGAAGCATAGCTGGAACCCTACCTAGGTGAGGGTCTTCTAACTTTGGAGTGCTAGTCAGCTAGACCACAGTTAACACAGATAGAGCCATCACTGCATTCTTGCGTCATCACCAAGAGCATCTCTGCACTCCGTGGCAGTGGAGACCTGTTGTGTCTGGAGGGGAAAACTATGACACAGCAATCGCTCATGAAGGAGCACATCTGTCTTACTGTGGTTTCAGCTCCCTTGGATCCACACCCAGAACTGTACCTTCCCGGAGCCTATGGTAGTTTTACTTCAAGTGTTCAGAAGAACCTTAATACTTAATACTCTTTTTTAAAAAACGTGTAGAGGCAAACTGTAGGAACACGAAGTTGTCATCTCAGCCAGATCCCCTGGGAAAACTCGTTTTAAAAACTGTACCGGTCACATTTATTGTAGATGCGCTGACCAGAGCAAGGGAATTTGTGGGAGGGAGCTACACAGAGGGCTGACAGCTGGGAGACCAGCCAGTGTGAAGCGTCACTACTAGAATCCTGCAGTAAATACACACTCAGTTTTCAGTTTTGCCCATGTAGTCTTGATTGGATGAGACATTTTTCCTTTAACATTTAAATATGTCAAACTAATTTTTTGAGAGTTACTCGTTGTGCTAATATGTATAGCTGTGTAGTAAGTACCATGTGTGTTTGTATTAAACTGTACTGCACTGACAGGAGACTAAGCAATGTTAAGTATTTTTCTATAGTTTAATTTTTGTGACTCAGTAATGTTCATTAAACACCCATCCTTAAAACATTGCATGATTTATTTCAGAATAACTAAGTTATTCTGAAATAACAAGCAGCAAATATTTCCATTACCTTGTGCATAACTGATGAGTTGCTACCGTTTAATAAAATGCTTGGTACTCCTTCAGCAATATTGTGGCAGTTTTCCGGTGTAACACACTATTTCCACACAGGGAGGCGTTTTTGTTGTCTTATAGCTTTCTCCCTTGGTGACTGTCTTTACACATTGGAATCCAAAAACAAAACTCATCTAGTGAGTTAACCTCTGTTGCCTTCTCTTCCAGCTGTGGTTTAATGGTCCTCTCATATCTGAAAGAGTTAAGACAATGGATACATCTGAGGTATGTTGTATAGTTACATCTTGTTTTACATTGTGTCTTAGGACTTTTGACAATTGGAACAGAAGAATAAAATTAATGTAAGAGAGATATATGCAGATGATAGCATTGGATATGTTGACAGAGCCACATTTTGGAGAATGATTTAGTCACATGCAGATTGGTCTCTGTTTTTCCTGAGATGGTGGCACAAAGGTCTGTTTGTTGTAGGGTTTGGGTTGACTCAAAGAAAAGGTGCCAACTTCTCATGTCCTGTGAAGTCTAAATAGGCTCCATGGACATGCATGATGTGGCTGGAGCTTCATTCTCAGCCTGGTGACAAACACAGCATTCCACGGTGTCAGTTTCACGAGTGCTGCAACTCAGAGCGGTTCAAAGGGGTTTTCTTTGCTGGTTAAAGTTGTAACGTTCCAGACAGCTTCTGGGAGATCCCATCTATGTCAGTTGAGACCCGGAATATTTGAAGACAATGTCCTTTGGGTCCTTCATCTCTCCCCCTGCATTTCCCTCTGCTTGTGTGTATATGCAGATCGTGACAATGTCCAAACATATTTTATAATAATTTGTCTTTACCGTTTACACTTTTTTCCTACTCGCTGGACTCTTGGTTTGGATTCTCGACATCTCATCACAGTTGAGTGAAAACACTTCTCTGCCAGCCGCCTTACTTACGTCCTCCGCCATGCTGTAAAGTTCTGCCCATCGCCTTCCCCCGGAAGTTTCTGCCTTGATGTTACTGCTGCTTTTTTCACCTCTTTTCTGAGCTTTTTCTTCGTATCGTAGCTTATGCTTTTGCTCTGCTCAGTTCCCCCACTTATTCCACCGAAGAGGACTTCTGGGGTCCAGCACTTTGGTTGGAGTTTAGTAACTATTTCCCTGTAGCGTGGACCCCTCGGTCGGCTTTCAGATCATACGTTGATCTGCAAAGTCAAGCTCCCCTTGTCAAAACAGAAATCATGTCCTCCAGTGTTTCCTTGTATATGGTCTTAATACCAGCCTACCTTGTGTCTTTGATGAGTACATGGAAAGGAGGGATTTTTTTCTGGACCTTTCTTTTTATTCTCTTCCCTTCTTTCCCCTCCTCTGCTCCCTGAGGTCTAACGCTATGAGCTGCAATCCTGCTGGCTTTGCTCATTGTTCATTCTTGTGCTGGTGGCAGCAGTGATGCAGTGGATGGGGAGGAAGTGTGGCTGCCTGAAGACAAATGGATGCTTTCTTACTCACATCGGAACCATCCATCTCTGCCAGGCTGGAAGGGCCTGTTTCCTCAGTGGTGATGCCCGAGTGCTGATGAGCCGTGCTGCTAACAGGCAGGTGTAGTGAAGGCCTTGAGATGAGAAAACAGCAGGCAGTGGGTCGCCCCTTTGATTATAAGAGTCATGAGAGCGGTCCCCAGAGCATAAGTGAAAACAGAAGTGCAGATCTGAATAGTGCCCATATCTTACTCATGGATTCCACATCACTGCTTCCATGGAGTTTGTAGATCATACAAAATCTATTCCTTGCTCAAAAGCATCCGGACATAGTTTTAAACACAGGAAACAGGAGCAACTAAATTTCAGTCCCTACATGGTTGGGACAGGATTCTCTACAAGCTCAACAGGTTCCCGGCCGTTTCCCATAGACAGAAGCCAGAGTATAGGACTCAGCAGGCAGAGGCAAGAAGAGTACCGTGCACTATGGCCTCCTCTGGCCTGACCTACACAGTGGTTCCGGTTCATAGTCAGTAGCTTAGAAGGAACACTGGACTCAAAAATTGAGACCAAGCACACTTGGGAACAGGAAGGTTGACATGCTATCTGAATGGTAGAAAGAGATAAAGGTATTTGTGTCTCCTATTAAACCTCATCAGAGGACTTTATACATAAAGTACTTAGCAGTGTGGCCTTTTTAAAGACATGGCCTCACTAGGTAACCTTGGTTGGCCTGGACCTTGCACTGTTAGCTGTGCTGGTCTTGAACTCACTGGACATACATATGTGCACCACCAGGCCCAGCTGTGGACATACATATATGCACCACCACACCCAGCTGTGGACATACTTATGTGCACCACCACGCCCAGCTGTGGACATACATATGTGCACCACCACGCCCAGCTGCTAGGACTGTTGTTCGTTTCCCTTCGCCGTGACCACATGCTCCACTAGCCTAGCTGACTTGTATTGAGAAGGAGCCACAACCATGAGTTTGCTCGGCTGGAGGGACGGATTTTATCATGAGCACTTTGTTCCTTACGACTTCAAGACAGTAGGTGGAAAGGAGCCACAGTGCTGGTTTGCCTGAGAGTCATCTAGATTACTAAAAGGAGATTGGATTAGTCTTCAGTGGAGGTCAGGGAGAGGCTATTAATGACTTTGGTCTTGCTGTGACCAAATACCGGAAAGAAACCACTTAGGGGAGGAAAGATTTATTTTGGCTCATTGTTTCAGAGGTATCAGTCCTTCGTGGCCATCATGGCTGTGATGGCAGGTTGGAGTGGCTCTGTCAGTGGAGGAGTGTGAAGAGGAGCCGCCGTTCACACCATGGCAGACCTGGAACCTGAGAAAGAAGTGGGAACCAGGGCAGGTATAAGCTTCCAAGACACCCCCTTTCTAGTCTGCTTCCACCAGCCAGACGCTGCCACCGAAACCTTCCACAGCCTTCAACGTTGCACCACACACTTTGGATCACATGCTCAGAAGAGTGAGCCTGTAGGGAGCATTCCATATTCAAACCCTGAGAGGAGGAGTATGTGCAAAAGGTCCCTAAAGGCATCTCTAAGTAGAACTATGCCTTATTGTAGCCAAACGAACCCTGTCAGGAAGGACTACAGATATTCCAGATACTTCAAGTTATGACTGTGTGCATCAGCGCTCCTAGTAAAGAAGCAAGGTCTGCCAAGACGTTTGCCGAAGGCTGGGGAAATATGAACTAGTACTAGAACCAACACATATACATACATACATACATACATACATACATACATACATGCATACATACAGCACCCACACACACCCATATACAACCAGTTATAGAAGTGAAGACCGTAGCTGTGTAGCTATTTTATAACAAGGATGCTTATGGCTGAGGATGTACCCATTGGTAGATCACTTTCCAGGAATGTTTTTGTGTATGTTCACATGTATCAGGCAAATATTTTGGGTGCTAATTTTTTTAAATAATTTTTCTTAGGTATATAATTAATAAGTAAACATTTTTAAAAGTCACTGAGTCTTTTTGTCATGCTTTTTCTTTGTCTTGGGACCTAATTTTGATATGTTTGAATTCAGTTTCTCGGCTTGTATTATAGTTGTGTGTTAATTGTGTGTTAAAGGAAGTTGATTCAACTTCCTTTGAGAAAGCTATCTCCTCAGTGGAAAATGAAAAACATAACAGGTCCTTCTTGTTTGTATCTAGTCAGTGGAAGCTGTAAACTCAGTTCAGTGCGCATGTGTCAATATTTGTTTGCAGTGTTCCCTGGTCCAGCCTCAGGACTGGGTCTTTAGCTGATACAGTTTTCTGGTTCCTTGGGTGTCAGAATCCGTGGTATAGGTTTTGTTTTGATAAGCAACAACTCCAACTTTGGTGATGTTACATAAGCAAGGTGCATATCCCATCTGTGGCCACAATAGCTTCACAGAGTGGCCTTTGTGGAGTTTGCTGATCAGTGAAGAAAAAGGCAGAAAACCAAGTGCCAGCTGCAAAAGGCAGCCAAAGGTGGCCGTCACTTCTGCAGATGTTTCCTTACACCATGGCCACTGTACCCAAGAATCCTCTTCCACGTGTATGCCAGCCAGCACATCCTAGGTACTGTCTTTTTAGCACATTATGCTTATTATCTTGTTCTCAAAATAATGGCAGAAATTCATTTAATACCCATTATGACTACTCTTGCTTCAGATATCTGCCACTTACAAATTCCAGCCTACCCTGTACATGGTATAACAGATGGTAATAAGCCGAAGGGGCAGACCTTGAGATGCACCACCTTCTTACAGTCTTGGAGTCTTAGGCAGGTTCAGTGAATGGCCTTAGCCCTGAATACTGGACACTTCCCTAGATGAGGCTCTGATTCTGCACCCTGATAGCTCCTGGGCCATCTCTCTCCAAGCTCGTGTCTCTTCTTTAGGAACTTCTCATTCTGTCTTCCAGGAAGTTTGGTCTTTAGTGATAATGAATTGAAGCTTTTTTTTATATATCATGCTCAGAGAATAAGCAGCCCTTTCCCTCTTCCCCATTTACAACTCTCAAATGCTGCCTTCTGTCTAAACCAGGTACTAGGCAGTCAGAAATGACAGATCATGAATCTCCTTAGGCAGTGTCAGCTAGTCTTGACTCAGGGGAAGTGAGGGAATGGAAGTGTGTATTCTGTCCTGGGTCTATACATGCCACCTTAATTTGCCTGTGTTCCAAAAGAAAATAAGGAGCAAATTATGTTTACAGGTTAGCAAAACCACAGGAGATAAGGATCTGTTGTTTCTTTCCCACCAGCACCCCACTTCTTTCACATCAGAGTTAAAGCATCTGTTCCTATACACTTGTCTATGTAGATAGCTTGGAACAAACTGGCATTTTAACAAAAGACCAAAGAAATTATTGAAAACCCTATTCTTTTTACTTTCTGGTCTTGCTTTGCATTTCCTTCTGTAATAAGTTCCCAATTCCTTATTTGAACCTCTTGTATCTGCCTATATTACCACTGACTGGCCTCCAACTCTTGGTCCCCATGCCTCAGCCTTCTGGAGGTGGGATCTGTGGAACGTACCACATTGCATGGCTTTTAGCCTTCCATTCTCTGTTTTTAATGCAGTAGTGTATTTCCAAGTCTGTAAACTGTGGAGTGATTCTTCCCCTCTGGCTCTGCCTTAGGACCCTCTTCTTTCTCCTTTCATGGGGTGACTTTCAAAATGTCAAGATGTTGAGCTAACCATTTTTTACTGGCTTCTGTTTGTTAATATATTGCCTTATAGGATGCTACTGATACCTCTGTTGGATCTAGCAGGTCTTCTAAACATATATAGGTGCTTACAACTGTACTTTATAAATAACTTATGGACAACACTGACTCCTTGGTATTTTAGTCGTTGGAGTCAGGTGCATTTAAGTGGGAAACCAAACATCATCAGTTGCTCGCATTCTGCCTTTTGTATCTCATCATTACTAACTTAGTGTGTTTGTAAGGCATTTTGCAGAAGATTTTCCTTCCATGATAAGAAAACTTGCATGTGTATCTTAAGTAAACGATGCTTGTGGAGAGGAGGGCCTCACATATTCTTGTCTCTGACCTAAGGCTGAAGGCTTGGGTTGAGGAAAGTCATCTCATTACAGGGGTTGGTGTCATTTGAGGATGTGTCTGTGGACTTCACCTGGGATGAATGGCAGGACCTGGATGACACTCAGAGGAAGCTCTACAGGGACGTGATGCTGGAGACCTACAGCAGCCTGCTGTCCTTGAGTGAGTGAAAGTCCCAGTAGTGCTGTCAGAAGTGTGTTCCTTTTTTAGTAAATACAGGAGCCACTTCTAAGGATAGTTTTTCTGTGCTAGTGACCAAACTGGGTCTTGTGCAATACAGGTAAGCACCCAACAAGTAGCTCAGTCTTCCGTTTGTTTATGTTTTCTTAAGATTTATGTGTATGGCTATTTTGTTTCCATATATGTGTGTGTACCACGTGCATGTAGTCCCCATGGTGGTCAGAAAGAAGACACTGGATCCTCTGGAACTGGAACTACAGACAGGTGTTAGCTGTCATTGCTGACAATCACACCTAGGTCCTCTGTAAACAGCAGCAAATGTTCTTGATTACTGAGCCATTTCTCCAGGCACCTATTTGGTGTTTGTTTGTTTGTCTGTTGAGGTAGGGCTCTCTACATATCCCTGGCTGTCCTGGAACTTTCTGTGTAGACCAGGCTGGACTTGAACTCACAGAGAGCCAACTGCCTCTTGCTTCCAAGTGCTTGGATTAAAGGTGTGGGCCACCACATCCAGTCCCTGTTTGTGTGTTTAACAGGCTCATCATAGTTCTACATTTGACGAAGTGTTCCGCCTCCTCAGTCGAGCAGCATTAGGCTCAGTGAGCAGTTCTCCTTTCTATGCTTCACTGAAGTGGCGTCGCCTGAGCTGTCCACTCGGTGAGAAGCAGGAGAGGACAGAGAGAGCATCACACCGTCACGCTGAGCAATGGAAGCTAAAGTTTTGTGTTTACTTTTTAAAACTTCTTCCTGTATACGTGGCATAGTCATATCATACACACCTTTGATAGATATAGGCAGGCAGATTTCTGTGAGTTTGAGGCCAGCGAAAGCTACATAGAAACTGTAAACAGAACACACACACACCTTTTCCTGATACTGCTCTTTGGTTTTTGTGCTTGATGAGTTTTTACCTTTGGGCCCTTACTAATATTCTTTCTTTGTACTGATTTCTGCTTTAGTGTTTTCTCCTTCTCTGTCTCTCCTTTTTCTGGAACTTAACTGCTTTTGCTCTATTGCTATGACCTCATCTCATCTTATCAAAAGTGTGAGACAAAAGGCTCACCATCCTTTTGCCACACACTCCCCGGTGTGCAGATTATAAATGTGAGCCACCATGTCCAGCCACTCCTTACCGTTGACTTCTAATTTCGTCCTTGTGGTCTAGAACACTCAGGGGATATTTCTGTTTGTTGTTTCGTTTTGTGGTACACTGAAGTTTCTTTTCTTTCCTAACATTTGATCTGTTCTGGAGAGTGCTTTGATGACGAAAGCAATGCATGTTCCTTGGCTATTGGGTGAAACAATTCTGTCATGTCTTTTAAGCGTCTTGAGTCTCTAAGTAAAGTTTAGCTGCATTCTTAATTTACTTCTCATGAGTTTGAGTTGTGTAATATGGTCCTCCAGCATTTGTGTGTGTGTGTGTGTGTGTGTGGTATAAAATGTCTATATACTATATATGTGACTATGTAATATACATATATCATTATCGTAAACATTGTGAGGTTTTTTTAACACTGGTTTTAAAGTTCCTTTGTCTGACTTACGTATAGCTGGCTGTTCAGTTTTGAGGTCGGTGTGTGAGCCATTGTTTTCAGTCCCTGCGCTAGCCAGCTAGGTATATATTCACTGGCACAATCCCTTTTGCTTAGGTAGTGCATCGTTAAGTCTTGTTTCTGTTAGCCATTCAGCCAGCCTGCATCTTTTGATTCACAGATCACATTCTTATGAAATGCTATTCTGGGGTGTAGTTGTTGCTCTTTTCCTCTATAGCCTTTATTCTCTTTTGATAAATCTTTGTCGTTTTGTGATTTCCAATATAGACAGGAGTTATATTTGTGCATCTGTTCTGCACTTGAGTTTTCATCCTTTCCTGTGTTTCCATGATGGCATCCTGTGGAATGTCTAATGGGGACAGTAACCATTTCTTATCAAGTCACCTGGAGTAATGAAAGTTTTCATTTGTTCATTTTTGAAGGCTTTCATCTCACTTTTTGAACGTTGTTCTGGTTATGGTATTGTTGCTTAGAGATACTTCTTGGTACTTCCAATACATCATCCCATTATTTCTTGGCCTATAAAGTTTCTACATAGAGTTGTTTACTGTGCTGTAAAGGGTTTGTGTAGTGAGTAATGTACTGTTTCGTCACATTTTATTATATTTGTATGTGTGCTGTGGGGTGTATGTACAGGTCAGAAGACAACCTGCAGGAATTGGTTCCTGTGGTTCCTAGGGATTAGGATTCACTCAGGTCCTCGATCTTAGAGGCAAATGCCTTTACGTGCTGAGCTGACTCATCTGCATTTTCCCCATTTTTTTTCATTTGCAAAATTTCACTCTTTAAAAATATAAACTCTTAGCCAAGTGTGGAGACTTGCGCACCTTTAGTTCCAGCACTCCAAAGGACAACCAGGGCTATACAGAGAAACCTTGTCTTGAAAAACCAAGAGAAAAGATCTCTCTCTACAGGCTTTCCTCCAAAATTCAGTTAGAATTATAAGTGTCCCACATGTTGGCCCTCATGTTGTACTAGAGTTGTCTTTGTTTTATAGGGTTTAAGGTTTTTTAAATCATGTTTAATCATGCTTATCTGTGTGTGGGTTTGTGTATGCAAGGGCAGTGCTTACATGGGATCCAGGAAGAACATGTATCCTCTGAAGCTGGAGTTTACAGTTGTCCGTGAGTGGCCTGATGTTACTGTTTAGAACTGGACTCTGGTCTTCTGCAAGAGAAGCACTTGCTCTTGACTGCAGAGCCATCTCTCTAGTCTTATTTTGTACATCTCAGAGTTGGCTGAAATACACCAGAGGGATTGATCTGTTTGAGTTAAATCTGTGGATATTTTAAAGCTCCTATAAAATGTTCTTACTGGTCCTGTCACTGCCCAAACTCCATAGTAATATATATGTTAATTTTAAGTGTATGGGTGTTTTCCCTGCGTATACATGTCTGTGTTCATGAGTGCAGTGCCTTTGGAGGTCACAAGAAGACATTGGGTCCCCTGGGACTGAAATTGGAAACAGTTGTAAACCTCTATCTAGGTGCTGGGAATTAAACCCAAATCTTCTGCAAGAGCAGCCAGTGTTCATAACCTCCAAGCCATCTCTCCAACCCAGCGTCCCGTCATTATTTAACGTACCTGACTTAGCAGTTAGCCAAAACTGATACAGTATTTCCTATTAAATAGATCAGTGTGATCCCAAACCTGAGTTGATCCTGAAGTTGGAGAAAGAAGCTGGGCCATGGAAGGAAGGCGATGCCACAGACCAGAGCCTCCCAGGTCAGTGAACGCACCCTGAACAAAGATGCCAGGTTGAAGAAGCTCATCAATTGGTGGCTCTGTTGAGCTCAGTCATCCTATAGTCAGTGTATGCAGTCTGCAGGGAAGGTTCTTTTATGTAAATGCATGCCACTTATATTAGGATTTCCTAAAGGAACAGGTAGAAAACACACACACACACAGGATTTATTAGAGTGGATTACAGGCTGTGGCCCAGGTAGTCCAACAAAGGCTATCCCAATAGAAAGAATTTGGTAGTTGTTCCGTCAGTTAGACTCATGTCTCAGCAGCACCAGTGTGGTCCTGGAATCCTGGAGGATCCTGGAAAGCTGCTGTCTTCTGTACACACTGGACACCTGTAGAAATAGGTTCTAAAACCAGTGATGTAACACCTCAACAACAGGGCAGATGCACTTGCCAATGAGAGTCAGGGCACACAGGCAAAAAGAAAAAGCTTTCTTCTTCCATGACCTTTCATTTAGACCACCAGAAAGTTTGGCTGAGATTTAAGATAGGCCTCCCCACTTCAAATGATCCAATCAAGAAAATCCCTCATGGATATGTGCAGCTGCTTGGGTTTCTGTTGATTCCAGATGTAGTCAAGTTGACAACCAAGATGGCCATCATACCTTGCTGTTTTTGGCGTGTGTTATGTTAGGCTTAGCAAATTCAGTTCAGATTTTCACATATCAGTTCATTCCCGTGTCTAATTTTGGCTTTTTTGTTATCTTAGGCTAAACAAACTCTGTTCAGTCTGTGGTTGTTCTTAGGCATGTTTGTTGGTCTATTCCATCTTCATTGGCATGATTGCATTTTCTTACAGTTGAGGCTGTTTGACTGAAGTTCTTATTTGTCCTTTCCTCGTTTTTATACCTTGTTTTGAGCATTTTCCACTCGTATGCTTGTTTGATACTCTAGAACAAACAGTGGTGAATCAACAGGCTAAAGAGCTCTCAGGTGTTGAGAAGCAGAAATGTTGGGATTAAAGCCATCATCGCCCCTCCCCCAAAGTCTTCCCTGAATGAAAGAAGAAAAAAATGGTTTTGAAGCCATCTTGAGATTATCACTTTCTTTTGATTTTATTTAATTTTGGGATCACTGATTTCTAAACCTAGTATACAATGTGTAGGTGGACATGAATTCTCAAGAGTGCTTATTAAGAATCCAATTTTGATATTAATGGTTTGAAACTAATGCTACATGCTTAGTTCTCTAGCCAGTCCACTAAGGGACGGATGAGAATGGAAGAAAATGAAGTCATCTATATGAAGGCAGAATTGGTGAACCTGAGGAGCACCCTGCATACCTCAAAGATGGGGTGCACCTGGAACTTAGTGTGGCAACTAGGAGACCTTAGACGTGACGGTCAAATGAACCACAGATTGCTTTTTCTGGGCTCATATTTCATGTACTTAGGATGTGTACTAAGTAAGCCATCTACTTTTCTCTGTGGCTATTACTCTAATTCAGCATATGCAATTAATTTATACAGCAAAGTCCATTTGTTTTGAAAGTTTGAAATTCCAAAGCCCAAATAAAGAGAGGGAGAAGCAAGCTTTTACGAGTCAGTCTGTATGTGTTTACACAGATGGGAAAATACCAGTCATTAATGTCAGACCTATGCAGAAATCTCACATTGCCAGTATTGTGGGTACACCTTGACTTATAGAACCAAATGTTTGAGGTTTTGCGGTTTTCATACGTATTCTATTTAATTTAGATTAAATTAGGATTATTAAGAATCCATGCTACCATATATGGAGCAAGATCATTAGTATTTGAAAAACACTGGAGGTTTCATCAAGAAATTCTTTCTTAGATAACAGACAAGAATACTACACTTGATGTATATGGGTACTAACCAGAAAGCCTTCCATTCCTTTTTTTCTAGATATGCTGAATGCGGACGACCGGAATGAGGTCAGCCAAGGCAGACAGAAGATACGCAGATGCAACCTGGTAATTGCCAAGAGCAGCGCATCCACAGAGAGGGCTACAGCAGGAAAAGCACTGAATAGCTCACAGTGTGTTTTCGATCTGGCCGTAAAGAACGGCATAGCTTCCAGAACAAGCCCTGGGGCACTTAATATGGGGGACAGTGTGCTTCTCCCTAGGGAGCCCAGAGAGATGCAAGCTAGAGAGGAACTTGAGCTTCCTGATATAACCAGGGTGTGCCCCAGACTCCCTGAGCCTTTCAGTCTATATGCCAGTACTGAATGTGAAGAACAGAATTTTCAGTGCCGTGGGCCCATTGACGCTTTCCACGTGAATCCAGCGTGGTTACAAAGAACATTCTCTATGAGAGATTCCTCCAGTAAGTTGAGGGACTACAGGAAAGAGTTAGAAAAGTTAGCTCTTCCTGCCAAAGGGGGAACTAGGGCACAGGTGCAAACTTCTGAATGCAAAGTGTGTGGGAAGTTATTCTGTAAAAATTCTCATCTCCTGCAGCATTTAAAAATGCACAGAGGAAAGAGATGTTATACAGGTAGTAATTGCGAGCCCGTACTCAGTATACACCCAAAACTCCCAAAGCATCAGAGCGTGGGTGTGGGAGGAGAGCCTTACACATGCATTGATGGGGAGGAATACGTTCATCCGAAGCCAGAAAGAAGTGTTCAGAAAATCATAGGTGATGGGAGGATTGTGTGTGGGAAGACCGTGTGCTCAAAATTAAGTGGCACCGTTCAGCAGAACCCTCACAAGGATGAGGAATCCCATGAGTACAGTATACCTGGAAAAACAGTTAGTAAGTCAGACCTCCGTCAGCTGGAGACACCCCACAGATACGAGAGAGTGTATGAATGTAATGCATGTGGCAAAGCGTTTAGTCATATAGCACATGTCTACTCACACCCGGGAGCTCACTTGACTGAGAAGCCCTATGAGTGTGAAGACTGTCAGCAGTCGAAGCTCGTGGTGAGCCAGCCAGCTCACACGCAGGAGAAACGCTATGTGTGTAATGTGTGTGGAAAAGCCTTTTACAAGCGAGCCCACCTACATGCACATCAGCGGACCCACACAGGTGAGAAGCCATATGACTGCAAAGAATGTGGGAAATCTTTCAGACTGAAGTCGTTTCTTGTTGTCCATCAGAGGATTCACACGGGTGAGAAACCCTTTGCGTGTGATACGTGTGGGAAGAGCTTCAAGCAGAGGACGAGTCTCTACACACACATACGAATCCACACAGGCGAGAAGCCCTACGAGTGTAAAGAGTGTAGGAAGTCATTCATTCTCAAGTCCTACCTCACTGTGCATCAGAGAACGCACTCGGGCGAGAAGCCCTATGAGTGTGACGTATGTGGGAAGTCCTTTAAGCAAAATTCTCACCTTCATGCACACAAGAGAACTCACACGAGTGAGAAACCCTATGAGTGTATCGTATGTGGCAAAAGTTACAAGCAGAGCCCGAGCCTCTACACACATAAGAAAATCCATACCAGTGAGAAACCCTATGAGTGTAAACAGTGTACAAAGTCATTTAGTTTGAAATTCCACCTCACTAGGCATCAGAGAACTCACTCCGGTGAAAAACACTATCAGTGAAATATGCGTGGATGAAGCGAGTTCACGCCTATGTCCATCAGAGAACTCATCCGGGTGGGAAACCCTCTGAGTGGGAAGAGTTGGTCTACAACAACACTTTACTACTAATCATCTGCCCACTAGGGCTTCAGTGGTGAGAATTCTGTCAGTGTCGTGTATGTGGAAAGGCCTGGCAGCTATCCAGCAGGTTCACATATCAGAGAATTCTTACAGGTGACAGACCTTTATAACTGAACTAAGAAAATATCTCAGCCAAAGATACATCAGAGTACTCACAAACGTGAGAAACCTTAAGAGCGTCGTATAAAAACAAATCTCAATCATAAGATTCAACTTGTTCATCCAAACACATACAGTTGGGTGTAATATAAATATACAGTCAGGCATAATGTAAAAACACGTACAGTTGGGTGTAATATAAATAGACAGTCGGGCATAATGTAAAAACACATACAGTTGGGTGTAATATATGTAGAAAAGCCTTTTTCTACATGTCATATCTCCACAGTCATTAGGCAGTTCACACCCTATAAGAAACCCTATGAATGTAGAAAATCCTTCAATCATAGGTCACTCTTCACTGCATACCAAAGAAGACACATGGGGACATCTCCATGAATGTTGTTTATGTACAGAAAACACTTACTCAAGACAAACCTCCGTGTCCACATGAAAACTCAAAACTGAGAAACCCTATGACTGTAAATACAGTAAAAAGTATTTCACCCATAAGCCATCTGTTGCTGTACATGAAAGAAGTCGCTTAGGTGAGTAACCATATGCACGTCGGTGAGTATAATGTAAGCGGAGAACCCTTTGAGAGGTGACAAGTCCCTATGTTAAAGAACTTGTATTACTGAGGGGCCCTAAGATCGACACAGAAATGCCTTTTTCAGTCAGCAGACTTCTCTGAACGTCTGTCGGGAGCGCATGAATAATGTGTATGAGAAACATACCTTCACTCGTGCCAATGTAAGCACTGTGTATCTGAAAGAGCCACAGAAGTAAGCCTCAGGATACGTTTGAATTAGCACAGAGCAGACACTGTGAGACAGGTAATGAGTCTTAAGACAGACTCTACCTGGATGCCATCCTTAGTTGGCCCGAGTGCAGACAACCTCTAGTATGTGTGGGAGCCGAGTATAGAAGGGTATCGTGGCTTAGGAATGTGTGTTGCCCAGAGCTGTAGTCCTGTGTTTCTGCCATCTCAAAAGTGTATAAAAGAGAGATCTGTACCATCTGTTTATAATACTTGGACCCACAGCCATTAGTTCACTTTAAAAGGTGGTTAGGACAAATAGATGATTATCTTGTTAGAAAATTCTCAGGAGAGATGGCCTTGTTGCCCCTCCCCCCCACCCCCGCTTTCTCACAATGCTTTGTGGGGAAGAACTCTTGAGAAGACTCCATAAATCCTGAGTGTATTCCCAGTGAGGATCCTCCATTAATCGCCATTGAGTGCCCGTTCTGTTTATGTGTGAAACCTTTCAACAAAATTTCCAGTTGGGTTTCAAAAATCCTTGATCTGGGAAAGTTATCACTATGGAATCGGTATATTAAGTGCTTGGAGAGAAATATTAAATCTCATATTCCAGTTGTTTTTAAAAATCTGAAAGCCAGGAGAGGAATAGTGGTGAGACTGTCTATCGGTGGGCATCAGTCTCTGTCTGGGGACATTTGTGATGTAAGTAGAGTTTCAGAGTGGTCAATGGCACATACAGGGATACAGCTGAACAGCCTGTAGTATGTTGGGTAATATACTGATATATGTATGGTTCATGTCCTATCAATCATGTTCCATGATGAAACTCAGTGGAAGGGACTCTCCATGACTTCATGTTATACATATTGCAGTGTGCATTGATATTTCCAGCATTTGGTGCAGTTCTGGCCTGTTTACTTCCTCCTAGCCTCACATGTTGTATTAGACACTTCCTTAGACTTGTAGCACATCTAAATGTGTATGACAGTTACTACTGGCTCAAGTAAATAAAGATAATGTTTTCCTAACACGGCATCTCAGAGTGGGCCTCTGTATCAGATAGGGAAGTACTTACAGTGACGAGCTTACACATGATATCTACTTTACTTGGTGAAAGACAAAGGAAAACATTTGTGTTCCCAGTGTTGATCACCATCTATGTTATTGTAAAAAAAAAAACACCCAAGGTAGTCAACTTAGGGAGAAACACTGATTTTTGCCTCACATTTGCAGAAGATCCAATTGATAGTGGACTGTCTTTTATGTTTATAGCAAGGCAGTTATTCTGGAGGGAGGTGTGCCAGAGGTATGTTTCTACATCTTGGAAGCCGGAAAGCAAAGAGAAGACAAACCTAAGAAGCCTAAAGGAAGATGGGGCTTCAAAGCCACGTGTTTGGTGCTGTTTCCTCTCTCTGAGGCCTCCCTTCCACAGATGTGCCAGTTGTCTTCATGCCGTGGGCAGGCCCAGTTGGGGGTCCCACACTTGGGGAGAACCAGGGAACGAGTAGCAGGAGGGCAAGGAGTCAGTGAGTGACAAACAGACACAAACACAACAGGGTGCTGAAGCTGAGTGTAATTCATATGTGCAAGCATCAAACTTTTAAACAGAAAAAAAAAGGAATTTAAGCATTATACAATAGCCAAGATCAGGCGGGCCACACGGCCAGTTTCAACATCAGAGAGAAAATAACTTTTCATAAGACCCGTCAGGAGTCAGACGGTGGTTTTACAATGATGACATCAGTATTGTCTGAGGTCAGTGTATTCTTAGACTTTGGTGTCTCTGTAACCCATTGCTCAACAAACCAACATCCAGCCTTTGAATAGTGTCCCTTAATGCTTTCTTATAGCCTTAAAAGAAGGTACCAGGGTGGTTATGCCCCAGCGACCCTCTCCAGCCAATTCAAAGTTTGATATAAACTTCGGCTCCATTAACCTCTACCCATCTACTGCCTTGTCCAGCACACTCCTGCATATGGTAATGAAGCAGCTGTTGTTCTATACACCTGTAATGGATATTCCTAAGGAACTCATCTGAACTCTGTCTGTCCTTTCTCATTGTTTTCCTTTTAGCTGCTTCATTAAAACCTTGCTATAAATTTACTAAAGCCCTCTTATGTGGCCAAATCTGGAGTATTCAACCTGATAGAGCCTTCAATCATACTCTGTTCTCCAAACTAAATATTTCCAAGAAAGATTAGTAATACAATAGCTATGGCACAGAACCCTCCCCTGGTAATAGCAAGAACAAATCTGGAACACATCCTTTTCAGGAGCTGCCAGGGCTCTCCAGGAGACAGACTTCCTTTGAAGCACTAGCCTCTGGAATCAGCATCCAAGATTTACTCTTTTTTTTTTTTCCAGTGTGGGTACATTAAAGCACTTATGCCAAAGCCCTCATAGTTGGTAGGGCCTAGAAATATGCTCAGATGCAGAAGGAGTTGCTTTAACAACCTGATTATCTCTCACATAAAACTGACAAGATTACACTGAGGAACCTGTGTCTGTTCATTGCTTTCAAGATGAGAATAAAGGCTGCAGAGATGGCTCAGTGGTTTAGAGCACATATTGCTCTTGCCTAGGGCCTGGGTTTCATCCCTAGCACCCAAATTAGGTGGCACATTGTGCCTCCAACTCTAGAGGGATCCAGTGCCTCTCACCTCTGGGGACACTCACACTCCACCATGTGCACATGCCCCACCCCTGTCCATACACACACACACACACACACACACACACACACACGAAGACATACAAGTACCTTCATAAGCCAGGAGTGGTGGCACACACCTTTAAGCCCAGCATTTGAGAGGCAGAGGCAGGTGGATCTCTGTGAATTTAAAGCCAGCCTGGTCTATAGAGGGAGTTTCAGTACATCCTGAGCTAAATAATAGAGAGATCCAATCTCAAAACATACATACATAGATATAGATAGAGAGATAGAGATAGATATATAGATATATCGCTTTGAGACTAGAGAAATGGCTTAGTGGCTAAGAGCTCTTACAGAGAATCCAGTGCCTGTATTTAATTGCTTAAAATTGCCTATAACTCTAGTTCTAAGGAATCTAATGCCTTCCTCCAGCCTCTGTGGGTACTGAATGCAAGTGGTGCACACACAGACAAGCAGGCATTCATACACATAAATTTAAAGAAAAAAAAGTAAGTTTGGAGCTGGAAAGACAGCTCAGCAGTTAAGAGCACTGCTGCTCTTCCAATGAGGACCTGAGTTCAATTCCCAGCACACATATTGAGTTGCTGACAGCAACCTATAACTCCAGCTCTGAGGGCAGAGGGAGACTCAGATGGATGCCTCAAGCCTCTTTAGGCACCTGTATGCATATGCACATACCCTATCACACATAATTAATACAACAGTTTTTAAATTGTAGATTCAATGTATGTACATCTGACTATACAGAGGAATTACAAATAAACATGTGTGGGTAGACAGGGTAGGGAATGGGCTAAAGCAGTAAGTTTAAAGATGCTTTGAAGCTGTCAGATGTCTCATATTGTTTAGTTTTGTGTGTATATTTTTCTGTAATGAAATATACATCCATATGTAAAATATACATATGTTTATAAAAAGCAAAGTAAAGCCAGGTGTGGTGGTAAATACCTATACTAGCCCTGTGGAGGCATGAAGAGCAGCTCAATGTTACCTTCAATGTTATTTTCAGCTACATACTGAGTTTGAGACCAGTCTGGGCCGTGTGAAATATCTCAGAAATAAACAGACAAGGTTGACAGTGTTAGCTCTTAAGAACTTCATTACTGGGCCAGGTGAGGAGCTTAATGTTAGAGTGCTGTTCAAGGATTTGCGAAGCTCTGGATTTCATATCTACCCATTGACAGTGTTTTCTATTAAGCAGCAGAGGCTGGAGAGGTAGCTCAGTAGTAAAGAACACTTGTTGCTTTTGAAGAAGGGAGAGAATCAGTTCCCAGCTCCCACGAGGCTATTTATATAACTATGTTTTGCTACAGTTCTGGAGCATTTTGGCACCTTCTTCTGACCTCCTCTGGGGCCAGGTTTGTATGTGGTACAATTATATACATACAGGAAAAACACTTATATATATAAAATACAAGTCTTAAAACCAAGAACAACAAAGGTCTTGTATACTTTTGAGAATAGTCAAAGCCAAAGTTATTGAGAGCATGAGAGAGGCTAATTTTGTTTTTCACTATTACACAAATGTGTTCATTCTGTAATAATTCATTGGGCTTTTCATGGCTGGAAAGCACAATTATTTTGTTTGCATCCCATACATAAATAAAAACTTCAATATTATATACTGTCTCCAAAAATCCCATGGCAGTTTCTTAGAATAATGAAAGAATTTAGTATTGTCTTACTGTTTGCCTGTCCCGTCATCAAAAGGATGGTAATTGTCTCCAAATACTAATCTTAGACTCACCAGTAGTTAGTGCAATTTTGTAAGTGGTAAACTCACACTCACATTTAATTTTTAAAAATGGTGTGTGTGTGTATGTCTGTGCAGGAATGTGCAAGTGTGAATGAAGGAGTCCACAGAGTCCAGAAGACAGTGTTGAGTCCCCTGGGACTTGAGTTACAGGGGCTGATGAGCTCCCTGGTGTGGGTGCTAGGAACAGAACTTGGGGTCTCTGCTCTCAGGTACGTGCCTTTACCAATGACACATCGATCCAACCCCAACTCTGCTTTTTTTTTTTTAAAGATACAGTTTTTCCTTGCACTGTCCCAATACTATGATGTTCACCAGGCCCAGTTAGAACAGTGTTCTTCACACAGCAGGGCGCTTGTGGAACTGGATTCAGTCAGGACAGGATTTGACCCAGAATGTATTCCTAGGCAGTCACTCTGGTTCCCCTTCAGCTCCCCCAGGCATTGTTCTCTAGTGAGATCAAATAAAGCATTGCATGGAGATAGTTGTTGCAGAATAATGTGAAGCATTGTCAGGGGTGAGAGTGAGCGAGACTCCATCTGCACCACACACTGACGTTTCCCGGGCAACTCCCCAAGAGTTGTCTATCCAAGATCTTGAAAAGCTTATTTGGACTAACTTGTAAAAATGGGGCAATTGTATGACTTTGATGTTTTATTTATCTACTTTTGAGACAAAGCTCTTACTTTGCAGACTTGGCCATCCTGTTTTTTGTTTGTTTTTTTTTTTTAATGTAGACCAGGTGAGCCTGGAACTCACAGATCTGCCTGCCTCCACATCCTCAGTGCTTGGACTAAAGATGTGGACCACCGCCCAGCCTGGATCTTTGTTTTTATAATCTTTGTGGCAGTTTAAAGTATCACACTTCTACCCAGAGCCAAAAGTATGGCTCAGGTCCTCTTCTTCTGAATAATAATAATAAATAATTAATAATAATAATGTCATTAAGAAACTTTGAAGAACGTTATAATAAAACATAGGAAACAGCCTTCCTTTAATGAACCTCAACAAAAATGGACCATTCTCTCCCATTTTTCCTTTCACATGGAATTTTAGATTTTGAAGAGGGGCAATTGCTTCCCTCTTTTCATGTGGTCGTTGGAATTCTAAGGGTAGTTGTGGTACTTTGGTTTTCTTTAACTTAGTGAGTGCCCATCCACCAAAGACCTGATAACATCCGTCTAGCTAGCTAACTCCCTAATAAGTCAGTAGTTTATGTATGAATGTTTTGCCTGCCCGTAGGTCTGTGCACATGTGTGTAATGCTCATAAAGTTCCGAGGGGGTGCTACTTGTGAGCTGCCGTGTAGGTGATGAAAATTGAACCGGGATGTTCTGGAAGAATAGTGCTCTTAACCACTGAGCCATGTCTCTAGCCGCACAAGAATGTATGTATGTATGTATGTATGTATGTATGTATGTATGTATGTATG